ATGAATGCCTACTGTGAGGAGCGAAGGAACGTGGAGACGGTGGAGAATCCAATAAACAGTCTTTATTTATCCAATCCACGGGGAACACAGAACAGGCAGGAACACACACATAGCACATCAATGTTTAAGACCCGACAAGGAAACATGGGGCAGACTACACTTAAAATACTTAAAATAGGAACGACCAAATATGGGCACAAGAGGGAGAAAACACACACACACACACAGACCATGTCTGTGACCAAGTCCATGGTAGGCTGCACGATATATCCTTTCAGCATCGATATCGCGTTGTGCGCGATGGGCTGACGATGTTTAGTATAGGCTACTGATCTTTATATTTATACTGATTGTTTTCTTTACTCACACACAGACACAATGTCTACACTGGACTCAACAGCTGTACAGAGATACCCATTTTAAATACGTGTAGTAGCAGAGCTACTGCACGTGATTTTCAGTGCTGGAAATCCATTTATCTTTTGTTGAAAATCTAGCGTAGCGTCAGTTCTGGCAGGTCACGTTAGTCAAGCTCGCATCAGCTGACTCTCAGCTGATCCCCATCAACCTATGGGAATACGACACCTATCTAAGTATTCATATATAAGGTCCCGCAGTAGTATCAGCAGTTTTCGCATTGCTCAATCGCTAATTAAATGGCGAATTCGGCAGGCAAAACCATCTCTACATTATTGTCATGAACTCCACAAGTTATGTGACTGACTCACGAACAAGTCAGATGGGAACTTCATCCCCAAGAAGGATATCAAGAGATCAAGCATCCACTTCACAGCTGCTATGTTTCACTCTCTCGAACGTCTTCACAAGCTAAGTCCCATTTAATGCTCTCAGGTTATCTGCAACATGCGTGTTGCTAAGGCTATCTGTGTTGCTTGGGCTCATTACGTTTTTTTTTTCAGTTAAATGCTTGTGCTAGTTCATGCATATGCGGTACTTATCTGTTGTCACTGGCAACACGCTTGTTGTTGCAATATGCTGTGCTTAACGGGGGTAGTGTCATTTCATGCATTCTGAGTTATTTACACTAATTAAGAGTTGGATTCTTATGCGCGTGCGCGCACTCAGCAACTGTCTGGAAGATGGAGAAGCCCCAGCGATCAAAGATCCAGGTCATATAAGAACTGCTGTAAAACTGCATCAAATGTCTTGTGATTGTTAGTAAGTGTAAGTGCTCGCGAGTCTTCAGCTCCGCCCACGACTCGCCTCCAGGAGCTTGGCTGTTTTCTCAGTTCAGCGTTGATTCTGTTCCTGTATCCGTCACGCTTGTTCTGTCTAGTCATATTGGAAACATGCTTGGTTGGTATTGGGAACATGCTTGCTAAGTTATAGTTGTATTGTCAGGAGCACGTTTGTCCCAGAGCTATCTGGTTGTTATTGGAACATGCTTGTTCTAAAAGCTGTAGTCATATTGGGAACATTTACCAGTAGGCTTATATTAAGGTAACATATACCCCGGTAGTGGGGTAGATTGTAATAAAGGCACTCCATGTATTTGACATCAAATGATGTTTTATTAACAAGGTTCGGGAGGAGTACGATCAGATAATCAATCAGTCTGGCCCAGGTGGAGCTCGTCAGATAATCACCTTAACAAGCACAATACATGTGTATATATACAGCCAATTTACCTCAGCTCGGAGCCCTCCCTCTGGACAGCACGCCAAATATGCTACTAATTGCTCAATCACATTATATGTTAGTGCGAACTCGTGAATTTATAATGGCTGTGTGAATGATATTCTTGCAGAGGTTTGAATTGGTGCCTTTTGTAGTGAACAAATGTGGGTAGCCTATAAATGTTTGAGCACAGATTAAAAAATTCAGCGAGATACAGATGTGTGTTACAACCATACCCGGCCTCCCCCTACGAGTTGAGATGCAAATGTACAAAGTTACGATGAATAAAAAAAGTGAATCTGTGTGTGTGTGTCTTGTCCTTTTTTGTTTTTTATTAAATCCATGAAGGTGCTGTAGCCTGTTGTGATAGGCCTAGGATATAATGTAGGCCTACTCTGTTATGCAGCAGCTTTACTGTAAATAAAAATAATTTAAATAACAGGCCCATTTCATTATTTCAATTAATTAATTTCAACACATTTACAGACCTTCATCCATTTATAGAAATGTAACGCTTTAAGAGGTGTAGGCTACTGCCGGCAAGACATCGCCCCCACAAAAAAACACGTTGGGAACATCACTAAAAAAAAATTTTTTTTTCTCCTACTTTATTTCTGCCCTGAGATATTTAATGTCAAATAAGACAGATATGTAAAATTTCCCTTGAGCACATTTCTCTTAGACCTTTATCAGCTTTTTCTCAGCAGGAGAATGTCCAAATGAAACATTTTTTTATCCCAAAATAATATACATTATTTTTTCAGTATCTTACTGAAAACATATTTAATTTTAATAATTCAGTGCTTGCCAAACACAAGTTACTTCCTTTTTTTACCTTTAATGAAAAAAAGATGTCTTTATGGTATTGTTTGTCAACTCTGTTAGGGACAAATTAGCCAATGTGTAGAAATAACAATAAATCATAAGAGGAAAAATCCTTCTTGTTTCATTAGACAAACAGTCCTTACATTCCATCACTTGAAACTGAGATAATATTTCACCTATGCATATCTTAAAAAAAAAAACAAAACCTATGTCTTCACAGAACCGTCCACTTGGAGTAAATATTTTAAATCTGAAAATGTATTATATACAATATCCAGTTAAAAAAAGGAAATGTTGTTGAAATATTATAAGGGTGCAAAAATAAACCAATAATGTTTATTAGATTTTAAACAACAATTTTATTGTTTTTTTTTTTGTGAAAATAGTTCATAAACAGAGTTGACCCTTTAAGTAACAGAATTGTAAAGTAAAAGAATTGACAGAAGTGTCCGATGGACTGTCAATTCTGTTACCGCATTGTCGGCATTGTTACTCTACCTTGGTAACAGAGTTTGACAGTCTAGCGAAAAAATTGACAAAAATCTAGCGTAGCTCAGTTCTGGCAGGTCACGTTAGTCAAGCTCGCATCAGCTGACTCTCAGCTGATCCCCATCAACCTATGGGAATACGACACCTATCTAAGTATTCATATATAAGGTCCCGCAGTAGTATCAGCAGTTTTCGCATTGCTCAATAGCTAATTACCCTCCTCCATCCCCAACTCCTCCTCTGTCAGTCAGGATTCAGCCTTCTGATTCTCCTTGAATCAGACTAATTCTAAAATGTGTACATAACATTGTTGAACTTTAACGATATCTGCAATACATTTATGTTGGTTCTGTTCTGTTTACCCTGGGGGGGGTTATCGCTGCTCTCCCTGCTCTCATCCATGCTAGGCTGCATGGATGCGCAGGGAGTTCTTGCCCAGAACAGAACCATACCGCCAATCCAAACTGTATGCTAATTGTCAATCATCTTTGACGATAGTGGTCCTGACAGAACTTTCGTGGAGAGCGCATGTCACAGTTGCTTAGCAACAGCAGACGCCAAGAAAGCGCAAGCTCCCGAGCACTTTGGAAAGAAGGAGAAAGCGGTGAGACTGGCGTTTTCCCACGCGTTTTTAGGCACGACATGTGAATGGCCCCAAAGTCTGTCTATACTGGACGCGACAAAGCGACTGTTGCATATCATTTGAACTTTGTGTCAGTACGTCATAAAGAGAACGCGGAATCAGTTTACTGTCGGGTATTTGTCGTGCCGCGCCACATCCAGTGTAGACAGACAGCATCACTTATAATAATGGGTTCATTGTATTTTGCTGCGTCTCGCCGTGCCACTCGCGTCCGGTGTAGACACGGTGAGAGCCACACTGATGCACGTGAACACTAATTTCTGTTCGCTTCTGCGCCTATTTGTGCCTGAAATACTGTTCTTTGCAAGTATCCTTGTAAACGCAGTTGCTTATGGCTTAGGTCAGGGATCCTCAAATCCTCAAAGCCCACGAGATCCACTGTCCTGCAGAGTTTAGCTCTAACCCTAATCAAACACACCTGAGCAAGCTAATCAATGTCTTCAGGATCATTCGAAAATCACAGGTAGGTGAGCAGTGTTGGGGAAAGTTACTTTTAAAAATAATGCATTACAATATTGCGTTACTCCCTAAAAAAGTAACTAAGGTGAGTTTGATCGGGGTTGGAGCTAAACTGCAGCGCATTGGCCCTCCAGGGCAAGATTTGAGGAACCCTGGCTTAGGTGAAGGGAAACAATTGAGAAAGAAAATGGATGTGTAACAGTAGATTGGTTTACAGCAATTTAATATTCCTGAGGCTTTCTGTGTTATGAATGTTAATCAAAAATCAAAACGCAAAGAAAAATCACTTTTATAGCTTTAACACAGATTTATTAGATTTAATTTATACTGTGAAGCAGTGTTATTTTACATTTGATTATTCAATTTCTGTACCTGAATACTGTTAGACTTACCTGAAAAATATAAAGCACTGCTTATTTCATTTGTATCTTTGTTCTGTTATATTTATCTATGCTTGTAATTTGTTTATTTCCTATGCTGATTTACTCACCTACAAAATCACCCCAATCATTGTTTTTTCCCCCCCAAATAAACTATTCAAGTCATGTGGTGATTTTTTTTTCATATTGCAATATATAATGCAGAAAAATAAAATATCGCAATGTGAGTTTTTTCCAATATCGTGCAGCCCTACTCCATGGGCGTGACATTATTAACGGTTGTTTATTGAGGTCTAAATTATATTAGAAATGAAAAGATGCAATACAACAAAACATAACGTTGTGTTGATGAATTCAGGAATAAATGACTTCACAAAATGGCGGTATCTAGACAAATGATGTTTGACTTTTCTGTTGTTGGTCACTTAAGTCTGTGTTTAAGTGAAATTCAAGTCTGAAGTCGACTGTTAATGAATTAAAGTTAAGGTTTAAGTAATTTTTGAGACATAGACTTTCATACTTAAGTTTTCATCTCTATTAATGATGTACTTTGCTTCTCTCCTCAGGGGTTGAATACACAGACTGATACAGGTCAGTACTAACATGTAGAGTCACATGCTGAGTATGCAACATCAGAGTCCCAACAGTTAAAATGGTTATATTCTGTAATATATGTTGTTCTATCAATAATATATTGTGATACAAAACTTAATTGTATGAACAGATGCTCTTGTGAGCATGTCAGCAAAGACTATTAGTAAATGTTTTTATTTCTTCATATTTCCAGATATCACATCACTCCCTGTCACTTCAAACATTTCTTCAACTGAGCTCGAAACAGAGTTTCCTCAAACACATCCTACAAGTGAGTATTATTCATGGAACGACTGCATAACTTTTAGCTGTATTTTATTCCTTTTATGACAATTATGACATTGCAATTAGCAAAATTTAATTTATACTGTTCACAGTTAATGTCATATATCCTTCAATCAATAATTCTAACAATACATAATTTCATTAAATTCAGACATTTTCTTTTAAGCGTCAATAAATATTACTTCAATTATATTTTTATTATTCTTCATACATCTAAATGTCCCAGCAGCCCCAGCCACAATAAGCACTCTTTCAACTGAGTCTCAAACAGGTGAGTATTTTTATTTATGGACAATCAAATAAATGTGGTAATAGGAAAATCCATATTTTTATTTCATTCATTTTATTGTTAATGTGGTATATTGTAATAATAACTGTGCATATTTTGTGTAAAATCCCAATTATCAAACATCAGCATCTATGTGTTAAAATTTATGTTGGGAATATGAAATGGGAAATAGTAATAATACAAAATTGCATTCATACAGATTACAGCAATTTAATGTTTTTTAACAACAATTCTCACATTATAAGATTTGATTGGATGCAAAATTTGTTACTTTTTTTATATATCAAGATGTCCCAGCAGCTTCTGCCACTACAAGCTCTCCCTCAACTGAGATTCAAACATCAGCTCCTATAAGTGAGTATTTTTATTCAGTTGAGTAAATGTGTGAATAGGGAAAGTATATCTGTATTTTATTCATATTTATCATTAATGTGGTATATTGTAATAATAACTGTGCTTATTTCATATCGAATCCCGGATATTAAACATCAGCAACTATCTGTTGGGAAATAGAAAATAGTAATAAGACAAAATTGTATTCATATAGCAATTTCCTGTATTTTAATAACAATTCTCTCAATGTAAAGCTTGACTGTATGCAAAAAAAAAATATATATATTTTTTTCTTCGTACTTCTAAATATCCCTGCAGCTCCTGCCACTTCAAGCTCTCCTTCAACTGAGTCTGAAACATCAGCTCCTACAAGTGAGTATTCTTATTCATGGACAATTGAGCAAATGTGTGAATAGGAAAATGAAAATTCAGTTCATTATTAATGTGATATGTTTTACTGATTTAATTGGGATTCAGATTGGATGCCATCTCAGGTTTACTTTGAGCAGAAAACTGCACAGCTGCATCCAGAACTTAGAGCTCTGGAATATCTGCAAACATTATATGAATTGGAAATTGAATGATTGCTACAGCTGTTTCAGATGCAAGAATCACTAATCACTTGCTCCTCTGTTGTAAAATAACTCTAAATGTGATTGAGAATCTCACAGTAACTGAAATCTCCACATCATTTGTGCTTCTGAAGTGGTATGAGCCAAGGACTGGGAATCGATTCCAAAAATAATCGATTATGAGGCTTTGGGCATCGAGAGTCGATTCCAAAGGTTGGAACTGACCCCATCAAGGGGAATCGACTCCTCATTCAGAGCCGTTTTCAGTTCAACAAAGCTTATCTATGGGTGCCTCTCAAACGGAAGGCTGGATCCTACAAATCTCAGCTGCAATGGAAACCCCCTCCATCTCCCGAACGCTCGAGGTTGGATGATGGGTTCCTGGGGGTGCCGCAGGCCGATCGTCGGCAGCCACCTCCAGTTCCATTCTTCCCGGAACTGCATGAAGAAGTTACTAGATCTTGGAGGGCACATTTTACTGCCCGAAACAGAGCTAGTACTTCTTCCATCCTCACTGCCCTCGACGGCGGGGCGGCTAAGGGGTATGTGGAGATCCCCCCAGTCGAGCTCGCTATTGTGATGCAGCTCTGCCCGCAAAGCACCGCCACCTGGCAGGGTAATCCACGCCTCCCGCCCAGTGCTTGCAAGTTCACGTCCGCTCTAACGTTTCCTTTTCCTGGACTCCCCGATCTCCCAGGCTGGCCTCTTCGGTGATGAGGTGGAGAGCTTCGCCCAGCAGTTCTCCGCCGCACAGAAGCAGACGGAGGCGATCAGACACATCCTGCCCCGGCGGCCCGCTGCTGTCATCACCCCGCCGCCGGCTGCAGTCCCTCCGCCCGCTCGTCGCCGAGGGCACCCTCCTGCGCCCTCCTGCACCCTCTGCCCCTGCCAGGCACTTAAAGCGCCAGAGTAAGCGGCGTTCCTGAGACGGGCAACACGGAGACTCTGGATCCTGCTCTTCAGGAGATGGTGACCGCACCACTCCTTCCCCCAGAGGAGGGCCGGGTGGAGAATCTTTTGTTTCATTTTTGTTTTGTTCCGCCACTGGCTCCCCAGCCGGTGGTACCCAAACATTAAATAAAAGAGCAGTTTTCTATTTCTCCGGGTCTCGAGAGGCAGTGTGGCAAGGATGGCAGTGTGCGAGGACCATCTCGACCCAAGAAAGGCTGTGGGTTACGGCCAAGCCTGGACCTGCACCTTCTGAACCGGGCCCTTCACAGGCTCCCGGTCAGGATGTTAACGCAGAAACGTATCTTTCAATGCGTTTGTCCGCACGATTGGTTTGCAGTGATCGACCTGAAGGACGAGTACTTTCATGTTTCGATCCTCCCTCGACACAGGCCGTTTCTCCACTTTGCCTTCGAGGGACGAGCATATCAGTACAAGGTCCTCCCCTTCTGGCTGTCCCTGTCGCCTCGTGTCTTCACCAAGTTCGTGGAGGCAGCCCTCATCCCATTGAGGGAAGGAGGCGTTCGCATTCTCAACTACTTCGACGACTGGCTCATACTGACCTAGTCTCGAGCACAGTTGTGCGAGCACAGGGACGTGGTACTCAGCCACCTTGGCCGGTTGGGGCTTCGGGTCAACTGGGAAAAGTCCAGGAGGGCGGTTCCACTGACATGACCGAGTCCCGAGATGGGCATGGCAACGCGGCACTTACCGGGTCTCAGTCACCCCGTCCTGCCACCAGACCTTCAGCCTGTGGTCAGACCTAGCTTTTCTTCGGGCAGGAGTTCCCCTAGTGCAAGTGTGCCGCTTCAAATTACTGCTACACGACAAGCACGTACTGGTCCGGACGGACAACACTGCGACCGTTGCGTACATCAACCACCAGGGAGGTCTACGCTCCCGTCGCATGTCGCAACTCGTCACCCCAAGACAGTCCAGCTGATCTGGAGACGCTTCGGGGATGCTCAGGTAGACCTGTTTGCCTCTCCGGACACGTCCCACTGCCAGCTGTTTTACTCCCTGTCCGAGGGTACCCTCAGCACGGATGCGCTGGTACACAGCTGGCCTCGGGGCCTACGCGAATATGCGTTTCCCCCAGTGAGCCTTCTCGCACAGACATTGTGCAAGGTCAGGGAGGATGAGGAGCAGGTCCTCTTAGTAGCGCCATACTGGCCCAGTCGGACTTCCCGGTGGGAAGACCCCCATAGATGCCCGATCGAGGTCGTGCTCTCCTTTCTGCAAGAAGGGATGGAGCGAAGGCTGTCTCCCTGCACCCTTAAAGTGTATGTTGCCGCTATTGCTGCACATCACGATGCAGTAGACGGCAAGTCTCTTGGGAAGCGCGACTTGGTCATCAGTTCCTTAGGGGTGCGAGGAGGCTGAATCCTCCGCGCCCCCACCTGGTACCCTCTTGGGATCTCCCCTCGGTCCTGACTGCCTTGAAGGAGGAGCCCTTCGTACCTCTGCAGTTAGTAGAGCTTAAGTTTATGTCGCTAAAGACAGTGCTCCTCACTGCATTGGCTTCGGTCAAGAGGGTCGGGGACCTGCAGGCATTTTCGGTCAACGGTATGTGCCTTGAATTCGGGCCGGCCGGCTCTCACGTTGTCCTGAGACCCCGGCCTGGATATGTGCCCAAAGATCCCACCACGCCTTTCATGGATCAGGTGGTGAACTTGCAAGCGCTGCCCCTGGAGGAGGCAGACCCAGCCATTGCTCTGCTCTGTCCCATACGCGCTTTGCGCATTTACGTGGACTGTACACAGAGCTTCAGGAACTCAGACCAGCTCTTTGTCTGCTTTGGAGGACAGCAGAAGGGAAAGGCTGTCTCCAAACAAAGACTTGCCCACTGGATAGTGGAGGCTATAGTCTTAGCATACCAGGCCCAACGTTCACCGTGCCCCATTGGAGTGAGAGCACACTCTACGAGAGGCGTGGCATCTTCTTGGGCATTGGGCGCCTCGATAGCAGACATCTGTAGAGCTGCCGGCTGGGTGACACCTAACACGTTTGCGAAATTCTATCATCTCCGTGTAGAGCCTGTGTCCTCTCGTGTACTTACCTCAGAGGGTCAGGAACACCGAACCCACTCGGTGTCGATCACGCTTGCTGCGCCATTCCCCTCTACGGACCGGATATGTGCGCTTAAGTGCTTCTCAGTTCAGTTTCCCTTTTGGTGAACCCTATGGAGTTCCTCCCGCACCCTCGGCGGTCAAGCGTGGCGGAGCGCCAGACGCCAGGTTCAGCACTCGTGTGTATGCCCAAGGTCAGCCCTTGTGCTGGGCTAGGTGCCCGTGTGTAGTGATTCCCCCTTCGGGTCATCCCACATGTGTATTCTTCCACGGTACGGCTCCCCTCACGGTAAGCCCGTGTCTTTCCCTGGCAGTCGTTCGCTGCCAGGACCTACTCGGTGTCCATCACGCTTGCTGCGCCATTCCCCTCTATGGACCAGATTCTTCCACGGTACGGCTTCCCTCACGGTAAGCCCGTGTCCTTCCCTAGCAGAGATTTCTCTGCCATCTCTGCTGTGTATTGATCTGACCCCAGATTCGCTGAGTCTACCGCAGGGACTTCCATATGTAGTACAGCGCTATGGCCAGTCCATATGTGTAACTTCCACATGATACCTCCTTTATGTAGGATGTGGCTTCCGTAGCGTTCCCCTACTTGGGTACGCTTTCCCAGTGTTATCCAATATCCCTGGATATGTTTTACTGATTTAATTGGGATTCAGATTTGATGCCATCTCAGGTTTACTTTGAGCAAAAAACTGCACAGCTGCATCCAGAACTTAGAGCTCTGGAATATCTGCAAACATTATATGACTTGGAAATTGAATGATTGCTACAGCTGTTTCAGGTGCAAGAATCACTAATCACTTGCTCCTCTGTTGTAAAATAGGTCTAAATGTGATTGAGAATCTCACAGTAACTGAAATCTCCCCATCATTTGTGCTTCTGAAATGGGATGAGCCAAGGACTGGGAATCGATTCCAAAAATAATCGATTATGAGGCTTTGGGAATCAATAATATATTGTGATACAAAACTTAATTGTATGAACAGATGCTCTTGTGAGCATGTCAGCAAAGACTATTAGTAAATGTTTTTATTTCTTCATATTTCCAGATATCACATCACTCCTTGTCTCTTCAAACATTTCTTCAACTGAGCTCGAAACAGAGTTTCCTCAAACACATCCTACAAGTGAGTATTATTCATGGAACGACTGCATAACTTACAGCTGTATTTGATTCCTTTTATGACAATTATGACATTGCAATTAGCAAAATGTAATTTATACTGTTCACAGTTAATGTCATATATCCTTCAAGCAATAATTCTAACAATACATAATTTCATTACATTCAGACATTTTCTTTTAAGCATGTCAACAAATATTACTTCAATTATATATTTTTTATTCTTCATACATCTAAATGTCCCAGCAGCCCCAGCCACAACAAGCACTCTTTCAACTGAGTCTCAAACAGGTGAGTATTTTTATTTGTTTACAATCAAATAAATGTGGTAATAGGAAAATCCATATCTGTATTTCATTTATTTTATTTTTAATGTGGTATATTGTAATAATAACTGTGCATATTTTGTGTCAAATCCCAATTATCAAACATCAGCATCTATGTGTTAAAATTTATGTTGGGAAATGGGAAATAGTAATAATACAAAATTGCATTCATACAGATTACAGCAATTTAATGGTTTTTAACAACAATTCTCACAGTATAAGATTTGATTGGATGCAAAATTTGTTACTTTTTTTATATATCAAGATGTCCCAGCAGCTTCTGCTACTACAAGATCTCCCTCAACTGAGATTCAAACATCAGCTCCTATAAGTGAGTATTTTTATTCAATTGAGTAAATGTGTGAATAGGGAAATTATATCTGTATTTTATTCATATTTATCATTAATGTGGTATATTGTAATTATAACTGTGCTTATTTCATGTCAAATCCCAGGTATTAAACATCAGCAACTATCTGTTGGGAAATAGAAAATAGTAATAAGACAAAACTGTATTCATATAGCAATTTCATGTATTTTAATAACAATTCTCTCAATGTAAAGCTTGACCGTATGCAAAAAAAACATATTTTTTTCTTCGTACTTCTAAATATCCCTGCAGCTCCTGCTACTTCAAGCTCTCCTTCAACTGAGTCTGAAACATCAGCTCCTACAAGTGAGTATTCTTATTCATGGACAATTGAGCAAATGTGTGAATAGGAAAATGAAAATTCACTTCATTATTAATGTGATATGTTTTACTGATTTAATTGGGATTCAGATTGGATGCCATCTCAGGTTTACTTTGAGCAGAAAACTGCACAGCTGCATCCAGAACTTAGAGCTCTGGAATATCTGCAAACATTATATGAATTGGAAATTGAATGATTGCTACAGCTGTTTCAGATGCAAGAATCACTAATCACTTGCTCCTCTGTTGTAAAATAACTCTAAATGTGATTGAGAATCTCACAGTAACTGAAATCTCCACATCATTTGTGCTTCTGAAATGGCATGAGCCAAGGACTGGGAATCGATTCCAAAAAGAATCGATTATGAGGCTTTGGGAATCGAGAGTCGATTCCAAAGGTTGGAATTTGGATCCTACAAATCTCAGCTGCAATGGAAACCCCCTCCATCTCCTGAACGCTCGAGGTTGGATGATTGTTTCCTGGGGGTGCTGCAGGCCGATCGTCGGCAGCCACCTCCAGTTCCATTCTTCCCGGAACTGCATGAAGAAGTTACTAGATCTTGGAGGGCACCTTTTACTGCCCGAAACAGAGCTAGTACTTCTTCCATCCTCTCTGCCCTCGACGGCGGGTCGGCTAAGGGGTATGTGGAGATCCCCCCAGTCGAGCTCGCTATTGCGATGCAGCTCTGCCCGCAAAGCGCCGCCACCTGGCAGGGTAATCCACGCCTCCCGCCCAGTGCTTGTAAGTTCACGTCTGCTCTAACGTTTCCTTTTCCTGGACTCCCCGATCTCCCAGGCTGGCCTCTTCGGTGATGAGGTGGAGAGCTTCGCCCAGCAGTTCTCCGCCGCACAGAAGCAGACGCAAGGCTGTGGGTTACGGCCAAGCCTGGACCTTCGCGTTCAGGATGTTAACGCAGAAACGTGTCTTTCAATGCGTTTGTCCGCAAGATTGGTTTGCAGTGATCGACCTGAAGGACGAGTACTTTCATGTTTCGATCCTCGCGCCCTCTGCCCCTGCCAGGCGCTTAAAGCGCCAGAGTAAGCGGCGTTCCTGAGACGGGAAACCCGGAGACTCTGGATCCTGCTCTTCAGGAGATGGTGACCGCACCACTCCTTCCCCCAGAGGAAGGCCGGGTGGAGAATCGCCCCTACTTCATTGTACCCAAGCAAGGCTGTGGGTTACGGCCAAGCCTGGACCTTCGCGTTCAGGATGTTAACGCAGAAACGTGTCTTTCAATGCGTTTGTCCGCAAGATTGGTTTGCAGTGATCGACCTGAAGGACGAGTACTTTCATGTTTCGATCCTCCCTCGACACAGGCCGTTTCTCCACTTTGCCTTCGAGGGACGAGCATATCAGTACAAGGTCCTCCCCTTCTGGCTGTCCCTGTCGTCTCGTGTCTTCACCAAGTTCGTGGAGGCAGCCCTCGTCCCATTGAGGGAAGGAGGCGTTCGCATTCTCAACTACTTCGACGACTGGCTCATACTGACCTAGTCTCGAGCACAGTTGTGCGAGCACAGGGACGTGGTACTCAGCCACCTTGGCCGGTTGGGGCTTCGGGTCAACTGGGAAAAGTGCAGGAGGGCGGTTCCACTGAAACAGTTTCAGAGGCTCCTGGGGCATATGGCATCTGCTGCCGCTGTCACGCCGCTCGGATTGCTTCATATGAGACCGCTTCAGCATTGGCTTCATGACCGAGTCCCGAGATGGGCATGGCAACGCGGCACTTACTGGGTCTCAGTCACCCCGTCCTGTCGCCAGACCTTCAGCCCGTGGTCAGACCTTGCCTTTCTTCGGGCAGGAGTTCCCCTAGTGCAAGTGTGCCGCTTCAAATTGCTGCTACACGACAAGCACGTACTGGTTCGGACAGACATCACTGCGACCGTTGCGTACATCAACCACCAGGGAGGTCTACGCTCCCGTCGAATGTCGCAACTCGCCCGCCATCTCCTCCTTTGGAGTAAGAAGCATCTGAGGTCGCTTCGCGCCGTTCACATCCCGGGCGAGCTCAATCATGCAGCCGACGAGCTCTCACGTCAGCCCGCCCTTCCGGGAGAATGGCGACTTCACCCCAAGACAGTCCAGCTGATCTGGAGACGCTTCGGGGATGCTCAGGTAGACCTGTCTGCCTCTCCGGACACGTCCCACTGCCAGCTGTTTTACTCCCTGTCCGAGGGTACCCTCAGCACGGATGCGCTAGCACACAGCTGGCCTCGGGGCCTACGCGAATATGCGTTTCCCCCAGTGAGCCTTCTCGCACTTCCTGGTGGGGATCGCGGTCGTGCTCTCCTTTCTGCAAGAAGGGAGATAGCGAAGGCTGTCTCCCTCCACCCTTAAAGTGTATGTTGCCGCTATTGCCGCACATCACGATGCAGTAGACGGCAAGTCTCTTGGGAAGCACGACTTGGTCATCAGGTTCCTTAGGGGTGTGAGGAGGCTGAATCCTCCGCGCCCCCCACCTGGTACCCTCTTGGGATCTCCCCTCGGTCCTGACGGCCTTGAAGGAGGAGCCCTTTGAACCTCTGCAGTTAGTAGAGCTTAAGTTTCTGTCGCTAAAGACAGTGCTCCTCACTGCATTCGCTTCGGTCAAGAGGGTCGGGGACCTGTAGGCATTTTCGGTCGACGATACGTGCCTTGAATTTGGGCCGGCCGACTCTCACGTTGTCCTGAGACCCCGGCCTGGATATGTGCCCAAAGATCCCACCACGCCTTTCATGGATCAAGTGGTGAACTTGCAAGCGCTGCCCCTGGAGGAGGCAGACCCAGTCATTGCTCTGCTCTGTCCCATACGCGCTTTGCGCATTTATGTGGACTGTACACAGAGCTTCAGGACCTCAGACTATCTCTTTGTCTGCTTTGGAGGACAGCAGAAGGGAAAGGCTGTCTCCAAACAAAGACTTGCCCACTGGATAGTGGAGGCTATAGTCTTGGCATACCAGGCCCAACGTTTACCGTGCCCCCTCGGAATGAGAGCAAACTCTACGAGAGGAGTGGCATCTTCTTGGGCATTGGCGCGGGGCACCTCGATAGCAGACATCTGTAGAGCTGCCGGCTGGGCGACGCCTAA